CAGTGCCACCCCCCTGTCACGGGCAGGGACACCTTCCACCAGCCCAGGGAACTCCAACCTGGCCTTGGACACTTCCAGGATTCCAGGGGCAGCCACAGCTTCCCTGGGCAACCTGTGCCAGGTCCTCCCCACCCTCACAGGGAAGAATTCCTTCCCAATATCCCATCTAACCCTCCCCCCTGTCAATCTGAACCCATTCCCCCTTGTCCTGGCACTCCAGGCCTTTGTAAATAGTAAATATTTATAAGACTGTAAAGGGCTCTGAGTTTTAAAGTTGTTTTTTTGTTTTAATTATAAAATCTGTTTTCAGTGTTGGGTTTGACAAGCAAAGCTCCGTGTAAATTCTGAAGCTCTGCAAGCTCTGGCCTGCTTATAAAATGGGAGATGAGGTCGTTTGCTCTTTGTTTTCCCTTTAAAACCGCCTTAATGAGCGGAGTGAGGATCCTGTATTTGAAATACAGGACTTCATAAAATTACTTAAAAATTCTAATGCCCTTGTAGTTTCCTGATTGAGAGTGTTGCTCGCTGCAGGAGAGGCTGCAGCTGTCTGTTCTCGTGGCTGTTTGAGAATTAAGAATTGGTAAATATTTCGGTCTGTGTTTTTGGCCACCTTCCATTATTAGGCAAAAGGCTGATTTTGTGAGCAGCAGCACCAGTTATAGGACCAACATGAGTAATTTACTTTTCTATCTCCATGTATGTGAAGTTGCAAGTGTATACTGCATATTCTTTAATTTGATCTTGGCATAGTGTGAATATATAGACAGCTATTTTTGAAAGTGATTATAACTGCTGATTTGCATAATGATCCAGGATTTCTCTCATAGCAACTGCAAAGACTGTCATCTTCAGCAATGTGGGAATGATTTCAGGCTTTGAGGAGCAGTGTTTTGTTAAATCTCTGAGCAGCATCAGAGCGGAGGCACCTCTGAAGTGGCACCCGGATTATTTGCTTTGGTCTGGTTTTGATATCGGCGCTTTCTCGTTGGGGGATTTCGCAGATTATTGGGTGGTTTGGTTTGAAGGTTCCTTGGGCACAGCACAGCGCCTTGGTTCTGTAAAAGCTGCAGGTTGGTAATCAGTGAGCAGAGTTTTGGGATTTTGTGTGGCCTGTGGTACCACAATGTAAGAAGGATCTAAAGCTGTTAGGGAGAGTCCAGCCTTTCACTTCCAGGGGAACAGGTGTCTTAGGAAAGCCCTGCTTTGGCAGAACGTGGCAGGGTTTATTTTATGCTGTTTAAGGAAGCCCGTTTCGAGTCTGGGGAGTTCCAACACTCTGGTTGACTTTGTTTTGTGTGTGTTGAGCTGCCTCAATCAAGGACTGAGGCATGGAATTGATAATGAACTTGTTGCATGTTTTAAGTGATCAGTTCTCCCAGGTTTCTAAAATTAGCGGTATCATCACCAATTTTGTGATGACTCAGAGTTCTCCCTTTGAATGGAAGCCCGGCTTCCAAGCTCCTGTGTAAGAAATCTCCCTCTTCGTAGGGAATATCTTAATTTCAGCTTTGGGGATCAATGTTAAATTAAGTGAGGTGTGAAAAGGAGTGTCTGTGAACTGTGGAGCGTGGCTGGTGATAGAATTCCGTGAAGATGATGCTCCTAAAACCCGTCTGTGCAGTGACCACGGGCTGTCCCTGTCCCTGAAGAGGGGTTTTATTCCCCAGCATGGGGATAAAAACATGCAGGAATATCTACCCCCTCCACTTGCTGCAGATCTTGGGGTGGAAGAGCTTGGGTTTTGTGGCAGCTTTTCCACTGAAGCGATGAATCTTCTATCTGTGCTCTGAGACTGAGATCATCTTGTGCCAACAGCAGCTCCGCTTCCACCGCCTTCTTCCATCTCAGGCTGGAAATGCCTTCAAGCCAAAGGCATTGCTGCGGTTGCTTGGACCAACAAAAGAGCTTCAGAGCAACATGTGGAGGCTGCCAGAGCTCAAGGAGCTTTTGGGCAACGCTTTCAGGGACAGGGTGGGACAGTTGGGGGGTGTGTGCAGGGCCAGGAGTCACTCAGCGCTCCTTGTGAGTCCCTTCCAGCTCAGGATATTCCGTATTGAGAACACACTGAAAAGATATAAAGTTATCTTGCCCAGCAGTAGGAGTGCGTTTGTCATGGCTTTCCTTTGGGAGCAGAGGAATCCTGGTGCCATGAAAGGGTGTCCCAGGCTGGCAGGGCCGTGTCCTTTAGCAGGAGCCCTGCTGCAGACACGGGGGTGAGTCAGCAGTGGCGTGTGAACTGCATTCCTGCCTAATGCTTGCAGATAATCACTGAGGTACTTCAGGACGATTATATTTAGGGGGTGGAGAGATTGCCTTGCCTGTTTAAAAAAAAAAAACAAAAAAAAACCAAAAAAACAAAAACACCAAGCCAAATCATATTTTTCTAAAATCAACCCCCCCCTCCTCACTGGGCTCACCGGTGGATGTTTGGTTTTTGAGCAGCCCTGGAGTTTTTGTGCTCTCAGGTTGCAAAGCCCCAGAGCGCACAGGATGCTTTTAGTGAATCAGCATCACAGGCTCACAGAGGCACCTCTGGAGATCATCCACTCCAGCCTCCTGCCCAGGCAGGGTCACCTGGAGCAGGTGACACAGGAACATGTCCTGGTGGGTTTGGAGTGTCTCCAGAGGGGGAGACATTCCCTGGGCAGTGTTCCCTTGTTCCACTGCTCTGCCACCCTCCATGGGAAGAAGGTGTTCCTCATGTTGAGGTGGCCTCAGTAAATAGATCTGATTTTTTTTTTCCCCCCACCCTGCCCCTTTGAGAGTATTTTCCATTTTTTTTCTTTACTGGGATATTGTGGAGCACCTTTTGCAATACCCACTCTGCACTTAAAAAATAATTGTAGTGATCCTGGTATAGTTTAAGGGACCTTAAAGCTCATCCAGTTCCACCCCCTGCCACGGGCAGGGACACTTTCCACTAGCCCAGGTTGCTCCAAACCCCGTCCAACCTGGCCTTGGACACTTCCAGGGATAGGGCCTGGTTAAGTTAAGCATTCCTAGTGATTCCTGGTTGCTTTGGGGTGTCTGCTTCTCTTCCATCTTGCACCAGCTGGGAATCCTGGAAAGTATCTCGTGGCTCAGCCTCTGGGAGAGGAAAAGCATCTGAGCATAAACCACAGGCTGCGACGCCTGAGGAAAAAAAAAAACGTTTGGAGTAAAGCTCACAAATGGAAATCCGAGCAAGTTAAAGTGGAATTTGGTGAAGTTTGGGCGTCTGTCTGATGGGTGATACTACAGCTGAAACTGGGGTTTGATGTGGTGTGTCAAAATGAATTGATTTTATCCCTGGTTTTGTTGGTTTTTATTTTATTCTACCCTGGCAGGAATGCTTGTCTTCCACAAAGAAGTGCTGTGGAGAGCAGCTTAATTTATTGGATTATTTTGCTGGGGTAGGACCCAAAAGGAGGTGCTTTGCAGGAGAAATGCTGGAGAAGTGGCAGTAGGGAGAAATCAGGTTGAGGGGGGAGTGATGTGGTGTGTAGCTGAAAGCCAGATAATTCACTATTAATAAAATATAGAACCAGTTTCTTCTTCTTATGGCAAAGAGGAACTGAAAAATAGTGAAGGCGCTGCTAATTATATAGCACCTTTTGTTAATTAAGGAGGTGTGAACTGCTTGAGAAGTAAAATAGGATCAGAGTGGTGTTCCACGTTTGTTATTTGAAGTTATCACAAGCTCTGTAAGTTAAACAATTTAATGTTGAGGATTTTTTTTTTTTTCCTCCAGTGTAAGTGTTCTTTAGGGTTTGGGCAAGTACAGAATAAACTGGAAACCAGCCACAACCCCCTTTCAGCTTCTGTATTTAAGGCAGCTCCAAATATTTATTTCATTTACTCAAAAGCTTTCCTATTTTTCTCATTGTCTGCACAAATCATCTGTTGAATGGCCCGAGCAGACCAATGCCTATTAATACTCGGATTACCACACAGTAAATGCCAATTCTTTTTTTTTCTTTTCTTTTTTTTTTTTTTCTGAGAGTACAAAACATGATTTCCGTGTATTCAGCCCTTAATGTTTTTCTGGAGTCTCGCAGTTAACGGTGTCAATGCAGAGCTGGGTCTGTGCTGCTCCGCTCCGAGGCCTCGAGCTTGTGGGAATTCTGCAGGGGTGGAGTAAAGGAGTTTCATGTCCTACTTCAGGCTTTGCTTTGTGTACAACCAACTGGAATTTTAATACCTTGGAAGCTGCTGCTGCAGCAGCAGAGTCTCCCATCCCGATGATCCAGCTCGTTGCAGCTTTGGGATAATTTGACCCTCAAAATGGTTCTTGACGGGGTGGGATAATTTTAGGTTAAAAGGGCCCTCTGGAAACCACCTCCTTCAAGCCCCCTTGTTTAAAGCAGGGCCAGCTTCAAACATACCGTGCTTTGTTCTTGCTCCTTCTAAAATTAGTTTGAGGAGGAGTATGTTAATGCAGCAGGGGATGGGCTGTTGGAGCTGCTGCTTTCATTTCTGGTTTGATTTTTTTTTTTCAGTGAAGCTTCTTCACTCCATTATCATTCCTAACACTGTTTTAAACTCGGGAGTACTTTCCTTTCTGGAGTTCTGTTAAAAAAAAAAAAAAAGCCAAAACAAGCAAGTGAATCCACATATCATTTCACCACCAGGAAAATAAATGCCAGTAATTTTCTAGCAGTTTGCTGGGAAGTCTGTAGAGATGTAAACTTACAGCTTTCCTATTTGCCCCTTTTTTTTTCCTTAGCACTGATTTGTTTGGGCTTAAGAGGTACTTTTGCCTAAATTCTTTTATCTCAGGTTGCTTGTGGCAAGTGAATTGCAGGTAGTTCAGAACAAGAAATGAGGTGAATTCTTGAGCAGTGGGTAATTGTTGGGGTTTTCTTTTTGATAAACAAGATGCAGAATCCTTTTCCCATTCCCCTCTGTTGTGTGGAGCCGGTTGGAGTTGTTGCTTTGACTCGGATACAGTTAAACATTGGATTGATGTCCATTCAATGCTCTTGCAGACATTTCACGTGCTTTACAAGTATTTCCTTTAACTTGCACCTCCAGATATTTATCCAAACATAATTGCTATGGGCTTTCCTGCAGAGAGGCTCGAAGGAGTGTACAGGAACAACATTGATGATGTAGTAAGGTAAGGCTTTCTTTCTCTTTTTCCTTAACTTGTGCAACTGGAATATTCTTTTCTGTACTCGTTTGAGTTGTGCTGAGGAAAGGATGCGTGTTCTGATTCGTAGAAATGGCAAGATTTTTGCTTCTTGTGGATGTTGCCTCATTGGTTTTCCTGGAAAATGTTGGAGACAAAGGAAATGGTCAGGCTGCTGTTCTGGGGTGATCTCCAATGTGCATAATCTGCCTTTTTTTTTTAGTGTGAAAAATTCACTTCAGTGAGTTGTGTTGGAGTAAAAAGGAGGTTCTTTGCTTTTAGGAAGACATCAGTCCATGGCATTTCAGGATAAATTTGGCCTTACCCCTTTCTTCAGTCGTTAGTGGTGTGCTTCATAAGTTAATTTTGAGTCAAAGTAGTAAATACAGGGGACTTTATCTAAAGGCTTTTACACTGGGTTGTGTTCAATAATCATGGACAAGGAGAAAAATCAGCTAAAATTCATTCCTGCTGCTAAAAAACCCCTCCAGGCTGTCATTTTTACCCTCAAATGAAGTCATTGGCTGTGAATTGCTGGCTGCAGCTGCGCAGGGGGTGCAGACTGTTTTGGGAGCATCCTTGTAATTCTTCAGTCATCAACACCCAACCTGGAGAGTGTGGCGTGAGAGGCTGCATTAAAAACAAAATACTTGGTGGCACAGGTTGCCCAGAGAAGCTGTGGCTGCCCCTGGATCCCTGGAAGTGTCCAAGGCCAGGTTGGACAGGGCTTGGAGCCACCTGGGCTGGTGGAAGGTGTCCCTGCTTATGGCAGGGGGTGGAACTGGATGGTCTTAAGGTCCCTTCCCACCCACAAAACTCAGCCACTGTAGCCATCTTTCGCTGCCAGCAGTCAGAGCCACGTTTTTGTGATGCTGATGGGGTTTTGCATCTGCTGAGTGAAGTGTCTGGTCCCTGAGGGGCTCCATCTTGGGGAATTGTAGGATAGGGGCAAAGGCTGGATTGAAAATAAATCCTAGAATGGTTTGGGTGGGAAGGGACCTTAAAGATCATCTCATGGCACCCCCTGCCATGGGCAGGGACACCTTCCACCAGCCCAGGTTGCTCCAAGCCCCGTCCAACCTGGCCTTGGACACTTCCAGGGATGGGGAGTCCAAAAAAACCTCTCTCTGGGCAACTCATGCCAGGGCCTCACCGCCCTCACAGGGAAGAATTTCCTCCTAAAATCCAACGTGGGAATAATCCAAATAAATAACAATAGGCAGCAACCTTTGAAGGCCCTCTTTTTATTCACAGCATTGATTTCAGTTGCTTCTGCATGAAGGAAAATACATTTTATTGAGTGCATAGGTGTGTGTAAAATAGACTTTTGAAGATGAATGCCTATAGAATGATTAAGCTGTCCATGAACACATTGATCAAAAGGAGCAGTGATCACCTAAAAGCATCATCAACCAAATTAAGATCTGGAGAGATGTAAATTAAGTGGCTATAGGGAACTGGATGCTGAGGCAGTGATAATGTTTGTTGCCTCCTATTTTTAAACAAGAATAAAATGTGATCATGCAGCATTTTTCCACGTCGCACTCCTCATCTGCTCCGGTCCTTTTTTATCGTGGAATTATTTCTCCAAGAGCTTTTCATGCAGAAATTCAACGTTGCTTGAGCTCCGGAGCAATTGGCATTGAGCCAGGATCCACCAGTGGGCTTTTTCTGACTATGCTGACAAATTCCAGGCTAATAACTGCGTGAGAAGTACGACCTGGACTGCTGGCAGTGTCGCTTGGAGAGGTTTTGGATGGAATTTCGTCCTTAGAACGGGAGATGGAATTTTTTTTCTTTGTGGATATTACCAGCAGCAGCGGAGTCAGCTCTCCTCGCTCTCCAGAGTGTGTGTTAAACAAGCAGGAACATCTCCTGAAAACAAACCTCCGAGTCCACCATCTTCCTCAGGCTCTCCCAAGTGTGCTGGGGGGGGGGGAAAACCAGCGGGAGCCTTGGAATACTTCTATTCCCAATGAAATCGGAATCTCGAGGAGCGTTCACATCTGTTCCTGTTTTAACGCCGGGGCTGAACCCACGGAGTTCTCCGGGATTCTTGCTGGAATATTATGACTGATAAACCAAGAGCTTGTTTTCGCTCGAGCTTTCCAGGATTTTTTAGCAGCCAGTGTTTCTTTTCGATTCGAACAGCATGTTCTGTCATGGCTAATTAAATTCCTCCTGGCTGATGTGCAGATACACACTGTTGATGATGTTAAGAGTAAACATTTGTGTGTTCTTCCTCCTTGCACGTTGCCAGGTGACACATCATATATAATCGCGGCGATTTTGATGAATCACGTTTGCAGTTTGGCTCGCCCGGGCTTGTATGGGAAGTTTGTGTTTTTTTGGGGGGTTTTGTTTGAGGTTGGGAAACGAAAGGAGCGTGAAAAAGTGATCTCCCTCCTTCCTGTCAGAACCCACAACGTCACACTTGGGTGGCAAATAACGGCCCTTTAAAATGGGATTGAAAGGACCGGTCGGGGCTGCAGCTGGAACACAAAAGTTACTTTAAACGATGAAATGGGAAGTGTTCACAGATCCCTGGCGTGGTGGGTGCTTTCTGCTTTTCAAAATAACCAGCCCTTGCTCAGCTTCACCCGGTGATCTGCAGGTACTCCAGGGATCGGCAGATCAGTCCGCACAGTCAGTGTTTCGCTTTGCAGGCCAGATCTTGGCTTTTCTGAGTTGCAATAATCCCTCTATCCGCGCTGCTGGATTGTTTGGATGAGCTCTGCAGGGAATGCAGAGCTGCACAGGCTGGGTGGTGCTTTGAGGAGGCTGCAAATTAATTATTGCAATGTATATTAATACATCTTGTTTCTCTCCTTTTTTTTTTTTTTTTTCTTTCCTTCCTGCTTAAGGTTTTTGGATTCGAAGCATAAAAACCATTACAAGATATACAATCTGTAAGTATGCTCTTAGAGATGCATTTTCCCAAAATAATGACTTCTAAAAATAGCTTTTGGAGGGGAGGGGGTGGCAGGGGGGTGCAAGTGGCTTCTTGTTGCTGTCCTGAAGCGGAGCTGGGGATGTTTTGCACATTTCTTAAAACAATTAAGGCTGATTGAGAGCCCTGGTACTTCATTTAGAGGAGCTGAGCGAGGTTAAATGAAATGCTGGGGTGTATTCATATTCCTTGAACGCTTTTAAATGACTTGGCACCCGGCCCATCTGGAGCTTGTACCATGTGATTAAAAAGTGAAAAGTAATTCACAGCAGGCTTTCTGGTCGTGTATTAATGTCCAGTTGCCAAATGAATATTTTCCTGGGATTTTTTTTTCTTTTCTCTGGTTTTTTTGGGTTGGTTTTTTTTATTCTTTTTTTTTTTTTTTTGGCAATCCAACCACATTGGTACCGTGGTACTCTCTTTGCTTCCTCACTCCTCTTGTCTGTCCCTGTATTTATGACTTTAAAAAAGAGCTGTTGGGGCGATGGGTGATGGATTCTCACTTCTCTTAAGTGTAATGTTTTGCCTCTGAAAATTTAGTTATGCAGAAAGCTGTTATTGTTGCTGTTCCTTGATCAAATTTATATGTTAGCTTAGGCTAATTTCATTTGTATAAATGATTTGGTGATGTCAAGCTGCTGTTGAGAAGTAGGTCGTGGTTTTCCTACCCCTCATCTTTTTTCCTAGAAATCTAAAGTTGAAGATTGATTCTCTGAAGTGCTACAGCTTTATTTTTTTTATTATTTTTTTTAAAATTAATGTATTTCCAAAGATCTGCAATTAATGGAAAAATTACTGTCGTCTGGAAATCCAGGCAATGCCTGACACTGTAATCTGTCAGTCATTAAAAATAAGTATTTGAAAATGAGGATTTAACTCTGCCTCTGAGTTAGCTGAAGGATTATGCATCAAGCAGCTCTGTTTCCTGATGCTGGGGAGAAGTGACAGCAGAAGCTGAGGAATTGTATTCTGATTTTTGAAGTTGTCTGGAGGGTAGGATGGATGGGACAGAAAAGGATACAGGCATAAAATACAGTCAGTGACCATACAAGTTCAGGAGCAAAACTGTATTTTTCAGCTTAAAAGCCCTCCAGAATGTTATCCTTTGAATAAGTGGATGCAATTTCTGGCAGGAGGTTGCTGTGTGTAAACCAGGCTTGGTCAGAAAGCAGGATATTTTTTTTTTTTTCTTCATGTCAAAATGAATTTCCCTCTTGCTCACCTTGAAAACAAACAAAGCTTCCTAAAATTACTCACCCTCAGATGAAAACTTTTGGAGGATAAAACATCCTGTTAAAGTGTGAAGGTTTTTTTTTTTTTTTTCTTCCCCAAGACGTGGCCCAGTTGCAAATTAAGATTTAGGTGATTTATTTGGAAAGTGGAGCTTTTAAACTGTGTGGAGATCCCAGATTACCTCTTGCACCTTTTTGCAGGAGAGGTTTATGCAGGTAAAATGCCATCAGGTGACTCGTGGCAGTGTTTGCTCAGGAGATGGGGAAGGAATTGCATCCATCAGGTGTTCCAGAGAACTTCATCTCCTCAGATGAAGCTGTAAATAATCACCCATTGTCTGCGTTTCAAAGGAGGAGGTGGGAGTTCAGAGGAGCTACGTGATCATAGTCAGAATTATTTCCAACTGTCACGGGGTTTGAGTTCCCTTAAGGTGGCTGTTCCGGGAAGTTTGGTTTGAAAGGATTTAGAGATTTTTCTAAAATTAAGTCAGTTATGCCTCATCCTCACATCTTTTTTATCTCCTTACCAGTGTTGGAGCAGTTTCATTTTTTGCTCCTTGTTTGTGTGGTTTCTCTCTTGTGTTCCTTTAACCCTTTGCAGTTTCTTTGTTTCTATTTTCCCCTTTTCATCTCCTCACTCCACGTGCTGCCTGATTGTTACCCCCCCTCCCCCTTTTGGAATCCTCTCCATCTTCTCCAGGCTATTTCCTTGCAGTGTCCTGCAGGCAGATGGTTGAAGGAAGGGTTTGATGTGCATGTTTGTTCTTCTGTGGAAGCCCGAAGTCCTGTTGGCAGTGGGATCATGATTGACCAGGAACATGCCTGGCAGCACTTTAGTTCCTTAAACTCCCTTTAATCCTAGGGAGGGTTATAAGACCTGTGCCAACCCACTCCTCACCCCCAAAATGCAAAGAAATATTCAGGTTTCATCTGGAGACCTGACTATTACAGGTGTTTAAAAAAAAAAAAAATGCTTTTGAAGTGTTAAGCACTCCCCAAAGCGTGTGTTGGTGGGATCTGTGCTGCAAATCCACAGGATTTGGGGTCAGCTGTGCCTGGAACTCCTCACTTGGTTGTGTTCAGCTCCCAGAAGAGGGCCCAGAGAGGGCCATGAGTGTGTTCTGTGCTCGGTTTCTATCCTTGGTATCAGCAAAACTATTTCTTCTCCCTCATGGCATTTGACTTGAGACTCTCTCAGACTTCAAATTTTGAAGGCTTCCCGTGTGTGAATTATTTCTTGGTGTGTGTGTGTGTTTTGAAGACTTTCATCTCTTCCTACCTATTAGAACTGGGTGTTTCTTTAGAAGGAAGCAGGAAACCCTCTTGGATAAGATGCTTTGTGTTAACTGCTTTGCTTCCTAAGCCAGGCTCAGGTCCCAGAGTGCAGGTACTGAGTGGTTACTCCATCCTGGGTGAACATCCTGCATCCAACCTTTCTTCTCGAAGGCTCGAGTGCAGATGATGTTTTTGGGAGTCCCATCTGCCACCTTCACCTGCGTCAGGTCATTTCTGACCCAGGGAAAGTGTCAGCGGTCTGGTGGGAGCTGGAAAAGCTGCCAGACTTCTCCCTAGATGAGGGTAGAGTGGGGAAGGCTCTGCAGTCGTGAGAAAAAGGAGCACTGAGAGCTTGTGCAAGCCCAGCAGAGTTGTGAGTGTCGTGGACAAAGCTCAGAGCAGCTCTGGGAGGCTCCACTTACAGTCACAAGTAGGAACCCAAGTTTGTGTGTCTGAAAGTGTCAGGTCAGCTCCACGTGGCTCCAAAGGCTGCAGTCCTAACATAGCTGGGGAGGAGAGATGAGTCCTGAAAGTGGGGTGGGAATTGGAGTCCTGTGAAGAGCAGAGGTTGCAATCAGAGCAGAAGATCTACGCATGCTTCATCTACCGAAATGACTCCCAGTCGTGTTTCAACCTGGGGTCCTGTTGTTTCGTAGAATCATGGGATGGTTTGGGTGTTGGAAGTGGCCTCGAATCTCCCCTCATTCCACCCCCCTGCCATGGGCAGGGACACCTTCCACTATCCCAGGATGCTCCAAGCCCCATCCAAGCTGGCCTTGGCAGGATTTGAGGCAGGATTGTTCTTGTTTTCCTTTCTGAGCTGCACTTCCACTCCCGTCACTTGGCCTCAGAGAGCAGCTCCAAGGAGCACTGCAAGGGCATCCACTCTTGCCTTCTTTCCCTTTACCCCAACATCTCATCTGCAACTGGCTGACTGGCATTTGAAGTTCACTTAAATTCAGGAACCGATGCCAAGTGTGATTTCTGTGGGAATATCTGGTGGGGCTTTCAGTTGACTGTGGCGGTCCTGACATGTCCTCGTGATCCCCACCACTCCTCTGTTGCCGGAGGAGGCATCTTGGCGTGTGTTTTGAGTTCAGAATCAATTGGATGAAGGTCACAGCTGCCTGCCCTTCATGTGTTTGGGAGCATAAAGCTGCCTGGAGTGGCAGGAGCTGTTAATAGCCCAGGTTAAAAAGTAATTATATATTGAGTTACTTGCGTG